TGAAAGGCCACCACCTTCTCAACAACCTTCCCAATAAAGGGGAGGTTGGAGACAGGACGATAGTTGTTTAAAATGGCTTTGTTTTCCGGAGTGCAATCTCTTTGCGTGTGCATCCGTGCTGAAAACTGGCCTGCGCGCCAGCCAGCTGATTGTCGGGCGCGCATGCGTGCTAGAAACTAGACGTTCAGCTTTTCCAGAACGTGACCCTGATAAGCGCATGAACGAACAACATTTCCACGTGATCTTTTGGTGACCCCTGACTTAGGAGTCACTTTCCAGTGTTAATGAAGAATTCCCAGCCATTCAACCCAGGTTAAGTATTGTAAGTTTGTAAGTTTGTAAGTTTAATTTTATTTATAGGCCGCCCAATCCCGAAGGACTGCGGGCGGATATTCCTCACCTTTTTTCTTAATTTCTGTTTCCAGGTCCATAATCACTTTGTAGGCTGAAAGGAACCGGAAAGGAAGTTGTCTGCTGCGTATGACAGAGTCCTGAAGGAGAGAAAGGCCAAAGGCAAAAACGGAATTAAAATTATTAACATTAAAGTACAGAATAATCTAGTATGAATTTCTCACAGAACAGCTGCTGCAAGATATGTGGATTTCAGTTCCCCAAGCCGCCTAGGAAAGCCAAGGGAAATCATCAAAACCATAAAAAAAAGCAAAAGTTAGAATATTTTGGGCATGTGATGCGAACACCCGGAAAAATACGCCATACTTCACTTAATCCTCCAGGGAAATATTGAAGGCAAACGAGGTTGAGGCAGAAGAAGAATATCATGACATCAAAATCTTAGGGACTGGTTTTGACAAAACTCAATAGCACTTTTTCGTGGGGCTGTTGATAAAAATAGAATCACCAACGTCCGATGATGGATATGGCACAAAAAGAAGAAAAGACTCAAGAACAGCCACGCTGGCTGAGGAATTCTGGTAATTAAATGTCTATAGAGATTCTCCATAGACATTTAATTCCCAGAATTAAAACTGACCCCATGTAAGAGGGGTCAAAAAAGCAATTCATATAAGATTGAACAGCCTATTATTGAAAAACAGAGGAGGGGGAATACGACACCACCTATCTCCTGTTTACAACACAGTCCTTTCACTACTTCCAAGAAGGTTCCACACTCATTTGTACTATTCAGGGCACAGATAAACCTCCAAGTTGCCTCCATGACCCTCAGAAAGAACGCCATCAACCAGATGACTGCAAGGAATATAAACCCTTCCATCCTCCACCATTCACTCAGAACTGAAGAAGCTTCTTGGATGAGAAGTGAAATGTCTTCAAGGAAAAGCAAAGTCCAGTTTCCTTTTGAAAAGGGATTAAAGTTTACACATAAGGATGATGTACAGATTGAAGCTGAATGACCTAGTAAGAAGACTAGGGAGACTGTGTGAAAAGAAGCTCCTCTATACCACATGGAAATTTGGTGATACAAAAATTGAATTCTGTTCGTCCTGCTTGTGCTTTGAAGTCTGTCCGTGGAAAATGCAGCATGCTTTGCCCCTATTGTTATGGCAGCAAACCATGGTCTGTCCCAGGTGTTTTCCACTTCTTCACAGATATTTGGAGAGAGAGAAACCAGGATATAAATCAATATACATATTACTCGAACCGACATCAATCATGGTCCAGAATTGATATGGTCTGGATATCAACAGAATTGCAATGAGATGTGAAGGAAGTTGAAATTGTCACGAATCTCTGGGAGGATCACAGTCTCATAAAAATAAGATTGATAGGGAAAAAGAGGATGACAAGATGGACACTGAAAAGATCGATTTTAAAAGGCAAAGAATTTAAATTAACGATGACTAAACAATTGCATCTCTTCTTTAAAGAAAACAAAAAAAGAAGATACATCTCTACAAAATTTATGGGATACGGCAAAGGCATACATGAAGGGAGTTGCCATATCTTATATGGCAAAAGAAAATAAATTTAAAAAGCAAAGAGAGAATTCTTTGGAAAAACAATAGAAAAGACTGGAGACGAAACTACAAAATAAGCCGCAAGAGAGAAGTATAAAACAACAAATGGACCTAATTAGAGTTAAATTGAATCTACTTGAAAAGAAGGACCTGGCACAACAGATGATAAAGATAAACCAAAATACTTTTGAGAATGCTAACAAGCAGGGGAGATAGGTAGCATATAAATTGAAGAAATAGAGAAGAGATGGATTAACAAATTACAAAACGATGAGAGAAATATATATGTTACCAAAACAAGGAGAA